TAAGATAAAAATATGAAAGATTTCTTAAATTCAAGAATAAGAATCTATTACTAACAAATGCTTAGATTTAAACCTTATATTTGTTACCTCCTTAAACATCTGAATTTTTTAAAAATTGAAAAAACAACAACAAAGAACTTACCTATAGGGTATCCCAATGCAAAGTCATTACTTTGTGTAGCAAAAATAGGGAAGAGTCCAGCTTTGCTAAATCGACTATCAGGACTGGCAACCAGTAAGGTTAATACACATACAATGAAAAACACAGAAGCTTTGCCAATTAAGATACTGTATAAGAAAGCCCAATCTACATTGGAAAAGTTAAGTACAACCATGTTTTTGAATAATAAAGCCGGAAGTGCAAATCTGGAGACAAAATTTCCCAGTCCTTTAGCCTGTGTTGATGTTATGACATTGGCCCTTCCTGCTATGTAGCCACAAAGGACTATGCCAAAGCATTCTAGTAAGGCTGGAAAAAGCCTTGTTATTGACATTGAAGGTGAATCATTAGTGGAATTGAATCCATGTGTTACTGTGGTAGATGAAGTCTCAGATACATTGATGGCAATGGTTGAGTTCTCTGTAGGCAAATTAGAAAAGGAATCCATTTTTTCTCACTCTCCAACTCTGGTCAGATCTCTGAAAAGAAAAGAAAATTCAGTGTAACAATACGAAGAATTTTAGCTGAAAGGAAATACTGCAAATTTAGAATTATTTACTTATTAAACAGTTAAATAATTATACATACTTCCTTCAACGATCACCAAAGAAAAATACAATGGAAATAAAGTGGAGGTGGGGAGGATGCTAACATTAACATTTTTAGTCTCTAAGATAGGTCAGCTCAAACATTTGTATTGCTACTCTACATTCCTATCCAACATATGTTAAATAAGATGCACAAACATTACAGCTGCAGTGATGCCCTGAGGCTCTTCTCTCCAGTGATCCACAACTGAGGTATCTAGTATTTAAGAGATGGGATCCACAGAGTCTCTGTTATTGTCCACTTGCATCCAGATTCTCTGGAAATTTCAGAAATTCTCAGGGGATGACCAAGGAGTCATTCTGAGTCCCTTCCAAAGTGTGATCATAATTGAGTATAAGGAAAAAGAATACAGTATAGCATCACTTATCAACTTTGAACCAATAATTTTAACTTTTCTATGCCTCACTTAATCTGTGAAATGGCAATAACAGTCTATACCTCACAAAAACGTAAGCCTATTCAAGTAAAGTCCTTATGATCACATCTGGTGAATTAAACAAAGCTAAATATAACTTTAGATTGAATATGAGAGCATGAAAGACAAAATTATGAAAAAATTATGGCATTCCATCAACCTGTGTAGGTTGTGTACTGACTGGCCCAAGAGTTCCTTTGTACCACAGCGACTTTGCACATGCAAAACCACTCTAAAACATTCCCTACCTACCTGTCTACCACTCTGCACATAATTAACACCTACTGATCCTCCAAACCATATAATTCATTAACCAAGTCAAGTCTCTTTCAAATGGAATGATTATCCTTACCTTTAACCACTTTTTTCTCATTTTGTAATTATACTATATATTAGAGTGACATAGAACTTATGTCTGTCTCCCTCACCAGACATTAAGTGTAACAGAAGAAAGAACTAAGCATGTCTTTGTTCACTGTTGTGTTCCTAACATCTAGCATAGTATCTGGCACACAAGAAACATTGAAAAAAGTTCTTGTTTAATGAATCACTAAAACAGTATCTTGTACTTAAATAAGCTCCCTAACCTTTCATGGATCAATGTTCTCTTTCAGGCATTCTCTAGTTTGTGGAATTTTTTTTTTGAATAATAAAATATTCTAATTTTTTTTCACTATAGCAACAGGCCCTAGAACACAAAATGTGCTCTAAAATGTTCTAAAGATGTTCATAAAATGTTAAAGAACACAAATATGTTGTAAAACATTATGAAGATGCTCCAAAAATGCTCAACAAAGAACAAATTCTGTATGTTAATATGACAAAAAATTATCAGACTCTCCTCTTGCTGCCAGGGACACAATGAAGAAGAGGTTTGGATGACTCTGAAGTTAAACAGCTTTTATTAGTAATTTTATTAGTAATTTGAAGTTAATTGATAATTATTGCCAATTTCTAAGTAATTATTCTGGGTTTACCATCTAAAGTGGCCTTATATAAGGCAGAAAGTAAAGAGGCTCATGCTTCCTGAAATTTATAATACCCTGCCTGGTTAAGTTATCAAATATCCTCAGCACATTAAAAAAGACTCAGATGGCAGGCCAGAGATCACCAGGTGATATAGGGGGATGTGTTAAGAGAATTTTCTCTATCCTATCCTTGTATAAACCAAACCACTTTAAAATCTTACATTCAATCTGGATTAGGACAAGTATTTTTCTACCAGGATTAGACAGGAGTGGTTCAATATAAACAAACCTGACAATACTCACGTACTTGAAGTTTACCAAATGAGCATCAAATTATATCCTGGGAAAGTTATTCATTGGTACAAATACCCATACTTGAAGCAGCTCGTAAACAAAGATGTTAAACATTTGGAGCCATTAAGAAATGTGGACTTGGAAAGGGAGTTGTAAAGAAGGTGATAAACTATTCCAGTCTTCTGATGTTTTTCAAAAGTTCTCTTTGTTTGGAGCATTAATAACTCATACTGCTCCACAACCTCTTATTTGGACCACAAAAACATCAATGTAGTCCAATATTTTTTGAAAACAATTGTAACTAACAGTAGTTCAGTGAAAAGAATCTAACAGATTCTGGACCATAACACTTATCAACACCTTGGGTCAGTGACTCTACCTCCCTGAATTTCAGTTTCCTCAACTGTAAAATGACAGTAAAAACCCTCTCAGAGGGATATTGGGTAGATGGGCTATTTTATGCACAGCTTATCACAAAGTAGGCCTTTAAGAAATGGTAGCAATTGCTATTAGAAGCTATAGTCCTAATAAGAATGGTAACAAAGTTAATAAAATGTATTCCTGGTTCTCCAAACATACTAGGTATTAAAGATCCTCCAACTAAACTAGAGGATAGCATATGTCATGTTTTATAATCAAATTAAGGGAGGTTGAATTTAATTTAGTTTGATCTTAAATAGCTGCTAACAGTAAAGGGAGCTCTTCATTTTTCTCTGTGATGGTCAAAAAATTGTAGCAATGTCCAGAGTTAACTTTCAATTAATTGAAAATTAAAAGAAAAACTTTGAAAAGTAACTTCTTCCTTCCTATGAGGTTTCTTTTAATGTTTTCCAGTATTATAAAAGCAACACCTGCTGAGGGGAAACTCAAAACAATCAAAAGGATTTAAAAAGTTTTATCCATCCTAATCTTTTTTTTTTTTCTTTTAGAGGTGCTAGGGATTGAACCTAGGATTGCTCCACCACTGAGTTACATCCCAGTCCTTTTTATTTCTTATTTTGAGACAGGGTTTCTCTAAATCGCTGGCCTTAAACTTGTAATCTTCCTGCCTCAGCCTGTCGTGTAGCAGAGAGATTACAGGCTTGTGCCACCACTCCTGGCTCATCTTAAATCTATTTTAAACGTGAAGAAAATATGCTTCCGAAAGCATATTTTAAAAATGAACAGAAACCATAGCAAGGGAAGTTTTTAAAAATTACACCCAGTCTTTTCATCTATAAAAATAAGGCTTGTTACAGAACAAACAAGTTGACCTGTCACAGTACAAGACGGTTCACCGGACCAGGTACTGGAGAAATTATGTATACAAACTGTGTCTGGCCCCTTCATATTTGACTTAGAATAACTTCTGCAAACCACATAAATTGCAAATAATTATTAAGTGAAAACGATGTGTGTTAACATCAAAGAGAAAGCTGTAAACTCTTAGGCTATTTCTCAAACACGGACATCCTTTATCCCATGGGAAAAGCCCAATACAGTGAGAAACTACTAAAGAATTCTACAATACGAACAGTCATACCATTCATCCACTCCCACCTACTTGCTGGGGACCAAATGTCCTCCCTAGGGAACCTATGGTGGGGAGCGCTGAGCTTTGCCATCTTCCTTTATCTTCAGGGACAGACTTTAGCCCTTCCAGATAAGGAGTGCGGAGAGTCCCTAACTAAATACTGTCCAGAGGGCAGTTGCCACCCAACGCCTGGGAAAGCAGTGGAAATGGAAAAGGCAAACGGGTAAGAAAAAGGTGGTCGCTCAACTTTGCAGGGCATGGAAGTCACAAGGTCATGGTTAACTAAAATGCTCTAGGTACCTGAGCAGATGCTTTCAGGAGGGCAGATACTGTGGCCACCCGCGGGATAAAAGGAAGAGTCGGAGAATGACAGGGTGGATACACGTGCAGTGAGGCGCTGTCCACACTGGGAATGGTAGTTCTGCCACGGGAGGGAACAAGCCGCCCTTCCTGCGCAAGCCTTCCCAGGTGGTCCCACACGGGCCAAAGGCAGGCGCTGAGAGGCAGAGGCGAGCAGACGCAGGCAGCTGGCCGCGGGGCCCGAGCGCAGGGGGAGGGCCGGGCGCTGTCCACCAGCCCAGCCCCGAAGGGCGGGGGCGGGAGCATCGGGTGCCCGCTAGGCAGAGTCAGGGCTAGGCGGGTCCGCGCCCAGGGGCCCTAGCTCACCTGCTACGTCTGCAGCCCTGCGGCCGCGAGTAGGGAGTCGGTGCTTGCCGAGGGCCAAGCAGCGAGGAAATCACCGTCATCTCCCGCCCCCAGCCCTCCTCCGCAGAGTGCGGCGGCACGTTCCGAGAAAGTGAGGTGGGGTAAACCACGGCGGCCGGGTCGGCCCCTCCCGGTGCCGGCTTTTGGCCCCGCCCCCGTCCCGCCTTCAGCCCCCGCCCCCGGCCTCCAGCTTGGAGCAACCTGGCGCGCGCCTCGCCTGCAGGCCCGCCCCAGCCTCCAGTCTCACAGCCCCCGCCCCTTCCTCAGGCCCGCCCCGGGTCCCTAGACTAACCGCACGGCCCGCCCCCGCTTCAGGCCCCGCCCTAGTCTCCAGCTTCAGGGCCACACCGCCCCCGCGCTAGGCCCCGCCCGGCCACCGCAGCCTGCAGCCGCGCGACTTCCGGCCCGGCCCCTAGAAGATGGCGGTCGCCGCGGGGGATTTCCAGGGCTTGCTGGTCTCTCTCCTCTGGTCGAGTGCGGAGCTCTCTCGTCTTTCTGGCTAACGTCAGCCTCGTGTATTGAGATCTGCTAGTTCCCCTCTTGGTTAGTGTAGTCTTTGCATAGCACAGAATATAAAAGCAAGGACTGAGACTCAGATCAGTGTCGAATCCTGCCTCCCATCTTTCCTAAGGAAGTGTGACCTTGACCTTCGAAATCAGATTAAAGTGTAAAGCTTTAGCATTGTGTTTGATTTAGAATAAGGGCCTTATTAGTAACTGCTTGTATTTCTAATTTGGGGGAAACAGAAAGGCAATATACTGAGAAGAATCTGCCTGTATCCGGAGGCTAACCTCTGAGCCTGAAGTCAAGGTCCTCAGATACAGTGTGCCATTTTGAAAACTAAAGAAGCCCAGTACTTGGCTAATGCCATGAGAATCAAAATTATTTCATATTTTAAAATATTTATAACCTGATCCCCCTTAATATCTCCACAGCATTTTTTTTTAAATCTTTGCATTTTTAAAAACTGTTCTGTCTGGCAACTTAAGGACATTCTTGTCATCCTGTCATCTCTGCAGTTTCAGTGTAAAGATATAAAACTATGTGGGTTCCGAGAAATGACTCAGTAAGTTAAGCATAGGTTAAAGGGTATGAAACTTAGAGAAAATGAACAGAATTGAAACTATAGAAAAGGCATGCATCCTGCTCCTGCTTTCTTACACTTCTTTGTTCGTTGTGTTTTTCATTTTAACAGCTTTTTATGTTTCCCTTGAACCTGGCTACTTAAAATAAAAAAATCTTCTTAATACCACAGTTATCTCTATTTAGAAAGTTTGGAGATTAATTCAATTAAATAAATACTTACTAAGCTTTGAATATTAGGGGACTACTAAGAAGATAGGCCTAGAAAGTTAGCATCAACCTGTAGGAGGTTCCTTAGATTAGCCTTAGAATTTGAATTTCATTCTTTGACCACAGTGAAACCATCAAATTTTTCCCCCACAGAAACATATGATCACACTACTTTTGGATGTGTGATCTGGAAGCTTTCCCAGGATTAGTTGAAAGACTGAAGGCAAGAAAAGCAGTATGGTGATTTGGGGAAAACCCAAGACATAAGGAAATGAAGGCCTACTCTAGGATGATGACAGTGAAAAGAATGGAATTGGCTTAAGAAATATTCTAAAATGAGAATTGATGTGACTAATAGGGCTAACAAAGAAGAAGGCGTTAATTAAACTATGTATTTCCTCATGTATTGCAATGAAGAGAAGATATTGGTGTAGTGAGCTTTTAATATCTCTTCCAGTTTTAAAATCCATTGTTTTCTGTAATTCTTTTATCTGAAGATGAAAGGAAGAAATATTCCTAAAACAGTTACAAGGAGGGTGAATTTGATTTTAGACCTAAAATCTAAAACTTTGGGAAGCAATCTTGTGTCGTCTTTTTTCTTGACGAAGTTATTTGCTCCATCTGAGGCCTTATGGGATTAGAACACCCAACTGGCTAGGGGTGAGAATTAGAATGAAAGACCTCACTGTCTTGTGAGCTAACTACTTATGAAGGCATTGGCATATGTGCATAAACATTTCTGGTAGATACCCAGAGAGAAAAAAGAGAAGCTCAAGAGATAGAACAGCACTAAAGATGTGGTTTGAAGAGACATCTGTGTGGACTGATTGAGTTTTCCAAGAACAATATCTTGTGGAGGGAAACTGTAGGAACAAAGTGAAGAAAAGATGACAGACTTCAGTGAAAAGTCATGTTTATGTAAGCAATTAGTGGTGAATGCCATAAGAAAATCATTTGATTTCATTATCAAATCTACTAATCATTCTGTGTAATGCAGATCTCTATTAATTATAATGTTAATTGAGTGAAGAAAAGCTCAAAGTTATGCAGACCAATGAATAAAAACTATAAATTTATCTTAACTTCCACTACTTACAAATAAGTTATTTGTAGCCATTGAAGCCGTTGCCTCAACTCCAGCTGATTGAGAGGAGAAATAAAACAAGTGTTTTGACTCAATGATAAGTGTCATGTAGGTATATGTTGAGACAATGTGATGTGCATATAGATTCCTGATAAAATTTTGCTTTTTCCAAAATGAAGTAGTTCTGATTTTTCTCTGATTTTTAAAGTGTAAATAACCATCATAAAATATTCAGATAATACAGAATGTAATGAAAGAAGTGAAATCATACCTATAAATAACCTGTTAATATTATAAATGATATTATATCACTTTCTGTGCACATGCAGCTTATTTAAGGAAAATGGAATTATAATACATATGAGATTTTAGTACCTTTTTCCTTTAATAATATTAACATTTTAACCCATAGATATTTTCAGCATTTCTAATGAAATGGTGAAAATTAAGTATTACCTAACGAAAAAAAATTTTAAATATACTTTTAGTTGTAGTTGGACACAATATCTTTATTTTATTTATTTATTTTTATGTGGTGCTGAGGATGGAATCCAGCGCCTTGCACATGCTAGTTGAGTGTTCTACTGCTGAGCCATAACCCCAGCCCTACCTAATGAAAATTTGAGGATGATCTTCCATGAAAAAGTGGCAATTAAGTGTAATTGAAGAATAGAAATGTAAAAGAATGTCTTAAAATGTGTTGTTTGAATATATCTAATATGATGTAAGTTTCTTTTACAACAGCTTTTTGTGTGTTTGCCTGTTTTTAACTTTTTATTGGACTATTATATTTACACAAATTAGTGGAACTCATTGTTATTTATTTGTACATGTACACAATGTAACAGTATACTTTTGGTCAATTTCATCCTGAAATATTAAGTTTCTGGAAAACTCTCCTCCTCCTTACAACAGTATCATTTTTCTCTAGGTATCCATATGTTCCAAAGAAGTTGACATCCTTCCACCTTAAGTGGTAATGTAACCTTGCCTATCCAATCAGTACATGGCATGCTTTTGAACTTAGTGATTTAAGTCAGAGTGGGCATTTACCCTAATGTACTTCAACATAATGACTTAAGACTTTTGCAGAAAATATTGATGTTCTTTTTTGCTGGACAAGAGGAAGCCTTCTTGGGACCGTGAAAGAAATCATCCTTAAAATGATGCAGATACCAAGTTTGGCACAACAGAGAGAAGGAACTAATAGGGAACTTGATGACACACTATACATGTGAAGTAGCCTCACAAGTTTACCTGGGGATCTTTCGTTTGTGTGAACCAGTCATTTTTTATTTTCATTATTTAAACAAGTTTGAGTTGAATTTTCTGTTACCTGAAATCAAATTCATGGAAAAAATTCTAAAAGAAAATACCTACAGTGATTATCTCTGTATGACAAGAGTACATATGATTTTTTTTCTGTGTAGAAAAGTTCTCAAAATTTCTATCAAAAATGTGTATTAATTTTATCAGGAAAAAGTCTAAAGTAAGTCATAAAGGATATATTTTGGTTATATGGAAATGTTAAACAATACTTAATAAAAATTCTTCTAAATCACTACCAAGTACTAAAACAGGTAGGTAAACTAAATTCACTCATAAAACAGAACAATTTAAGAGCACTGATACAGTGAAGTACATAGACTTATATTATACAAAGGCTTTGTGTTTGTTAATTTTTGTACCCTTAGCACTTAGACTAGTGCTTTCTCTGACATATGATAGACATTCAGAAATGTTTTTGAATGATTGAATAAAACTGATTTCCACTAGATATCTAGGAAGTTGAAGTGTACTTCTATTTAGTGGGAGCTATTTGATATAAGCAATGGAGATATAGCTCTTTTACAATAAGTGGATTTCTTATTTTTTCCTAGCTTTCACTTGTGCTTTTTGTTTATAGCCTTATTTAAATATTCTTCCAAATTTCTGACTTCTTTTTGTTATTATAAATGCTTTAATTTAATAATTTAGTTTCTCATCTGTCAGGGTAACACCCTGAAAATTTTCTTTTAACTTAATATTTGTAATAATATGTGTGTTTGAAGAAATGCCTACTAGTTTTTTCTTTCCTTTCAATTTTATTACTGAAATATTCTCACAAAAGCAATGAAAGAAAGTGGAGCCTAACCATCTCACCTCATTATTATAATTATTATTTTTTGCACCGTGGATTAATCTTAGGGGCACTCAACCATTGAGCCATATACCCAACCCTATTTTTGTATTTTATTTAGAGATAGGGTTTCACTGAGTTGCTTAGCACCTCACTGTTACTGAAGCTGGCTTTGAACTTGTGATCCTCCTGTCTCAGCCTCCCAAGCTGCTGGGATTAACAGGTGTGTGCCACTGTTCCTGGCCTGTTATGTTTTTGATGTTGTTTTGTAGTACTGGCCATTGAATCCAGGAACACTACCACTGAGCTACATCCCAGCTCTTTTAATTTTTATTTCAAGACAGGGTCTCACTTAATTGTTGATGCAGGCTTTGAATTTGTAACCCTCCTGCCTCAGCCTCTGGAGTAGCTAGGATTATGGGAATGTGCCACTGCTTCTGACTTTGATCTTTTTATGGACTTAGGTAATGTTTGAATATGGGTAAATAAGCAGAGGCTTTTAACTGGGCCAGCACTTAAGACATTAAGAAGAGAAACAAAACAGAATTAAATTATAAGCTAATTCAGTTACTTAGATAAGACAAAGAGTAGAAACTATTCAATAGAAGCATGGTAAGTTTGGGGGCTCAGCCAGTCTCTTTCAAGACTTAGTTTCTTAATACCACATTTTTTTTTTAAGGTCAGAGATCTGAAATAGGAAATGAAAGACAAAAAATACACTTGTTTCTTCTAGCTTGTTCATGAAAAAGTGGGCTCACTGACAAATTTAATAAGCATTCTTTAGTGAAGTGACCTTGTAACTGCAGAGCATTTTCTAATGTGAATAGTGTCTAAAATGAAATATTGCTGGATGTGATGGTGCAGGCCTGTAATCCCAGCCCCTTGGGAGGCTGAAGTAAGAGGACTGCAAAATCAAAACCAGTCCCAGCAACTTAATGAGGCCCTAGGCAACTTAGTAACCCTGTCTCAAAAAATAAGAAGGGCGAGGCGTAGTTCAGTAGTAAAGCACCTCTGGGTTCAATCCCCAGCGCCAAAAAAAGAAAAAGAAAAAAAATGAAATACTTAAAATAACCAATTTTGTACATTAGAAAGAGGAAGTGGAGAAAACCTCAGATTTTAACGTTGATTTGGAATAAGTAGGCTTTTAGCCACTTCTAGTTAGAATATGCGTAGAGCTGGTGAATGAATAGTTAGCTAAGAGGGAGAGAAAAGAAAGCTCTCACAAGCGCAGTCCAACAATTAAGCCCAGTACCTCAGAAGCATTCTTTTTGTAGAGTATATATTTCAAGGGTTCCAGTCTTCTTCCCTCCTGGAAGGGGGAGGTCCTCTATCTGTTGATTTCCATAGTATTCTAAGTGCCTAAATAGTGCTTGTCATATAGTAGGCACTTGTTGACTTCCTAACTTTTGGAATACAAGCCAAAAAGGTTTGTGAAGTTTTCTGTAGAGAATCACTTAAAAAACGGAAACACCTGCTCTTTCTTGGCCTGTTTCTTTCACTTTTGGTAAAAGTAACTGATGGAAAAGAAGAATCAGAACTCAATTATCTGTGTGGCAACAGAGGAACCAGATCAGTAGTTGAAACAGAATAAATGTTGAGGAATCATCACTGGTTGTAATATAGACTAAATATGAAAAAGTGTTTCTATAATTAATTGTACAAATATTTAAATGTCTCTATAAGTCCAAAGGTTATGTATATTTCCTTTACTCTCTTATGCATGCTTTCCCTAACCCTTTCCAAAACATTGAAACTAGAAAGAAAATTTACAGCTGCTGAGCTGCAAGAAAATTACCCAGACCTTGTCACAAAGAGGCCTAGTCACTAGTTTGACAGTCATTATTGTTGGAGAATAAAGTGGATAAAAGTGAGTTTCTCATGGAGTGTTAATTGAGGTTTCTGTACTATATAGCTAGTAGTAGCCTGGTTAACTATATCCTCAAGTCTGGCTTATTATTAGTCCTAAAGGCCTATCCCAAACCCTCCCACATAGGTTTATTATATGCATTCATTATGGAGATATTTATGGTGATGTTAAAATTTGGTTAAATTCCTAGAAAACACTTTAAAAAATTCATTTCATATGTTGCCTCAATAACTGATCAACAATTTTCCTTTTTTTTTTTTTTTTTTTAACCCACCTAGGTCTAGTATAAAAAGTTGAAGCCCAAGGCTGGGGCTAAGGTTCAATGGTAGAGCCCTGGGTTCAATCCTCAACGGGGAAAAAAAAAAAATCACTCCCAATATTTACCATAGTGAATTGATTTGTTTGTTTTAGTGACAAAATTAGATCATCCCTGAGGGCAATAGGAACATTTTAAGAAATCTTTGAACTACATACAAAGACCCCAATAAAATTGAGAAGACCCTCTCTCCGAATCTCTTCTCAACCATTGGAATTTCACCCATCCAGCTGCAAGTGTTAAAAATTAGAGAATTATGTTTGTCCAAAATCCTTTCCTTACTATGGAAGGTGGTAAGCAGGGAACGAGTGTGACCTCTGTTATGTGGAAGTTAGCTTGTATACAAAAGTTGGAGAGGAGAAAGCCTTCATTTCAAATGATGTAGAACATTAGTGAACATAACTGCAAAGTAAGTGAAGAAGGGAAATTTGTCTCCCCAGCTCTTGGAAATAAGAGCAGTGTTGCAACAATCCACTGAGGATAGGTGACCAATGGAAAACTCCTGTAAAGAGACAGCAGGGGCAGGGATTATATTATATGAGGAATGTTTCCCAAAACAACAGGGGGTTAGAGTTTAGACCTTTCCTCCCAACAGAATGATAGCTGTTCTGTTCTTTTTTCTTCAGGCCTCAGTCTTAATGTGCTTCCAGGCACTCTATCGTTCTTATACTTTCTCAGCATTTTCTCATCTTTTTAGTGATCTCATCTTGTTATTACATGCTAGTGATTTGGTGCTACCAGGCTACTGCTTGTTCTACACATTATTTGTTCAGTATGACTTGCATGTGTGGCTACTGGACAAGAGCCTCGGAAGGCCAAAATGGGAAGAACATGGAAGAACATGGGGTGAAGAGCAGTCATAAAGATTGAGGATTTAAGCAATATTCTTAATCACAGTCAGGAATCCAAAGGTCTGTCACAACAGTTTTCAACTAGAATCATCTGGGGAAAACATGTTTGTGTGTGTGTGTGTGTGTGTGTGTGTGTGTGTGTGTGTATTACTGGTTGAACCCAGGGTCTCACGCTTGCTAGGCAGGTGCTAAGTGTACCACTTGGCTACTTCTTCGGCCCTTTCTATTTTTAACAGGGTATACTAAGTTGCCCAAGCTATTCTCAAACTTACAATCCTCCTGCTTCAGCCTCTTTTGGGGAATATAATGTTTAAAAATATAGATGCCAGAACCCCATGCAGACTTTCTAAATCAACATCACTGCAGTTGGGTCCATGGTCTGTATTTTATTTTTTCATATTCTCAGATGTTTCTAATATAAATTCTTGGTCAAGAGCTTCTTATCTAGGTAACAAACTGAAAAGTAGAAATAAATCTTAAAAGCAAGTAGTATTTGTATGAGATGAGCACAGAAAGTTTTACTAGAGTCTTAGTACTCTCTGGGGAGAAATGTATTCTCATTAAAGGAAAAAAGTCACATTGAATCTGGCATCTTCCTTCAGAAAACCATTTCGGTAACTTTTTCCATTTGTTTGGTTTGTCCTTTGTGGAGAAGAGCAAAACAAAGCACAACAAACCACTCTCTTTATGTCTTGTGGATATATACCACATCTTCACTATAGTGCCATTTTTCAAATCCCAGGCACAAAGTTCACATCAAGGGAGAACTAGTTTTCTGTCACTACGTTGAGCATATTATGAATCATGTAACAGAATATCAGTGCAGTCATTTCACCATCTCTTAAAACTAAAGTTTTTGAGAAACAATCAAAATTCCTCCCATTTTTCCTGAGATTCTATTTATAAAATATAGCTTTTAAATAATCTTTTCTTTAATTTTTGTGCATGTGGCATCTTATTTAAAAAATTCTTCCCTGCATCAAGGATGTGGGGAAAAAGGCACAGTCATACACTGCTGGTGGGACTACAAATTGGTACAGCCAAAATGAAAGCAGTATGGAGAATTCTTGGAAAACTGGGAATGGAACCTCTATTTGACCCAGCAATCCCACTCCTCACTCTATACCCAAAGGACTTAAAAACAGCATACTAAATGTTTATAGCAGCATAATTCACAATAGCTAAACTGTGAAACCAACCTAGATGCCCTTCAGCAGATGAATGGATAAAGAAAATGTGGTATATATACACAATAGACTATTACTCAGCAATAAAAGAGAGTAAAATCATGGCATTTTCAGGTAAATGGATGGAGTTGGGGAATACAATGCTAAGTGAAATTAGCCAATCCCCCAAAACCAAATGCTGAATGTTTTCTCTGATATAAGGAAGCTAATTCATAGTGGGGTTGGGAGGGGGAGCATGGGAGGATTAGATGAACTCTAGAAAGGGGAAAGGGAGGGGAGAGTAAAGAAGGGGGCATGGGGCTAGAAAAGATGGTGGGATGTGATAGACATCATAACCCCAAGTACGTGTATGAAGACACGAATGATATGAATATACTTTGTATACAACCAGAGATATGAGAAGTTGTGCTCTATATGTGTAATATGAATTGTAATGC